CGTGCCCACCTTGCATCATTGAGCTGAGGTGAGACTCGCCCACTAGGCCATGGTAGAGGATGCATCGGTCCCGGGGAAACGACCCAATTGTAGCGCAAAGGGCTTGATTTGAGGGACGCATTGGCGGATGCGAACACTGTCGCAGGGTGTATGGGCGTTTCTTTCTTTCTTTCTTTCTAGATCCCGTTTATTGCCCTGCGAGGCCGCGCCTCATGGTAGGCCTTAAACTACAAATACTATTGACGTGAGTAAGAAGTGGGTGTTCGGCTGTACATGGTGAGCACAAGGCTCGAGCTAACTAGGGGGGTGTGGTGGGGAAGTAGTGGTGGCGAACGGGGCAAGGGAAAGTGCTAGGCGATGACCGGAAGGAGGGGTGCAAGGGTACACTAGTGGTGGAATGGTGAGTAGCAGGGCGCAGTACCTATGCATTGTGGCCGCCTGTCCACCCTTGGCCAGTGAAGGCTAGGGTACGGGTTGCAAACCTGCCGCCCAATGGGTACGATTGCGTCCCTGGGACCCGCCTCTTGCTGCGGTCAGGAGTACGCCCAGCGGTATCCCCGCCGTTCGTCAGAACTCCCCCACCCCTAGAGCGGGCAGATGCCCGCAACGCATAGGTACAAGGGATCCATTGTCTCGGATACATGCATGACCAGCGGGTATATGTAGGGACACTGTATCGTACTGAACGTGTGTGAGTGTAGCCTGGGAAAGTGTAAGTGTCGTTAGTGCAGTGGTCCGTGCGCGAAAAATTGCTGATGAGGAGGGCTCAGCGTCATGGCTTGGTGCGATGTGGACCGGTGCTTGTCTCTCTGCTGTAAAGGGGTGCCTCCGAAGGGCTCGTCTGCCTTCATGTCGAGTTGGGTATGCGCGGCTTGCTGTCAACGTTGGGTTTATTATGCTGCCAAGTCTGAAAGAAAAGGAATTAGTAGTATTGTCTGTCAGTGCACCATCATAATCTACATCAAGCCTCCTCCAAGTCATCGTCAACCCGGGGCCTTTGTGGCCGGCCCGAACGGGAGCTGCATCTGCACCATGCGAGCCCGCCCTTTCTGCGCCCTAGCACGTTGCGAGGGTGCCTTTCGGCCTTTCTCAATCTCCTCCTCAATTACGTCTTTCAACTGAACTCGTGTGGCAGAGACAGCTCTATCATGCAGCTTTGGGACCCATGAGTCCGGGTCTCCTGTAGGGTAGAATTGAAGGTGGTTCTCTGGACAGCGGGCGTTCAACTTGCTCAGATGGTCTAGGAAGACAGGACACTCCCGGTCCCATGCGGCATGACTCTTCTCATTGCAGTTCACACAGTGATACTGCTGCACATCTTGTATCTTACAATCCACTGTTCTATGTGTGCGCGCACATGTTCCGCACGTATCATGGTCCTGAGGGCACTCCTTGGCCAGGTGCCCTGCATCGTAGCGCTGGCATTTGGAGCACCTCAATGGTTCTGCCAGGTTCTTCCTTACGCTTACATGGCGGCCCGCTAGTACCAGACCTGCTCGGATAACCTTGTTGGCTGCTTCTGGAGAGGAGAGCGTAACCAATAGGTGAGCAAAACGTTGGCCTTGGTACCGCTTGTGAATTGGCTTAATCCAGCGAGCATCCACAATTGCCCCTTCCTGAAGATCAAGATCCAGTTCTGTCTGTCGCCATTGTGTGGTATCAGTTGGATCTAACCCAACCGGTGTAAACTCCGCAACCAACTTGTACTGGCGAGGGCGAATCTTTGCCCTTGGGCTCAAAACAAACTCATAATCGTGTGCGTGCTGCACTATCCACTTCGCCAGGTCTGGTGTGGCGAGCTCCAGAACTACTCCCCCGTCCCGGAGGGCCTTCACCGCAGTAAAGCGGAGACCTTCCGGAACGTCAAGTTCTTCTCTCGAGAGGTAATTGAGCGCATCATTAGCCTGCTCTAGAATCTCTGTCTCCAAGAGTGTGCCGTCGCGGTTCCCAGGGAAGCCATCAATAAGGATCTGTCGTGCACGGATGCTCTCCCGGTCTACGACACTCAACTGCGCAGCTCGTGTGGTACCCGGGAGGCTTGCTCTTACAGCCTCCGCATAGGAGAAAGGGAGAGAGACAGGTGACGACTCACTGAGGGGGAGGCCTGCGCATCCTGCCTCCTGAATGTTCTCTACAGCCCCTTCGATCTTCTCCTTTGCGCATTCCGCAACCCCTGCCAGCTCATTTGCGAGTTCAGCGATATGGTCGCCAGCGGCGGCCACCCTCGCCTCCAGGGTGCCGATGAGTTCTTTCGTCTGCGACTCAAGCGGTGAGTACAGCTTCCGTCAATGATTTGCTTACCGCGCTCTCTATGACC